CCCCCCCCCCCCCCCCCCCCCCCCCACAGGGGTATCAAGCAGGGGAGTCACTTTGTCAAACTCTGTTCACTGTTTAATCCGCTGTTTGCTTCACTCCAATGCTCAGACTATTTGCAATCAGTCTTGAATTGACATGCAATCTGTCTATTCCCATCTCCCAGCTAACGCACTGAATTTATTTTTTCATGTTGTTTTTTGTCGGCTGTGGCATTTTGCATCAGTGGTGCAGTGCAGCATCTGAGGGTAGATTTCTCCTTTAAAGGGGGGATGCAGTATTTATGTGAATGGATTACTGTGGCTCATTGTGTCCCGAGCTGTCCAGAAACAATTCTTCATGAGGCGTCCAGTGAGAGCCTGTCTGAGCACCAAGCACAGACGCAGTCACACACACACACACACACACACACACACACACACACACACACACACACACACAGACACACACACAGTCAGGCTGTCAGGCTGACAATTAAGTTGGTATACTCAGAGGCCTGTGAGAAGCTCAGAGGCACTCTAAAACAGGTACCCAGAGTGAGAAGTTGGGGATCAAACAGAAAGGCTTTGTAGTGAGGGGGCTGTAAAACATAAAAAAAGAATAACTTCCCAATCCAGGGTACAGTGCAGTCTGTGCCCCTGGATGTTTGGCCCTCGCTGCAGACAGCTGAGAGGGAGGGGAAGTGAGAAATGACACTGGCTCCTTGCATATAATTCAATCCCTAAGTGTTAACTAGTTTGTCAGTCAGCTTGGCCCACACTTGGCTCTCAAGGCTTTTCTCCAAACACGAAGAACGAGAGGAGAGAGCAGCCAAATATCCACTTTGCACTCTGCTCATTCTTCAGGCCTCTCTGGTCAACTTTTGTGCGCAATGGGATTGATGAATGTTGAGCATTCACGCTGTTGTGCTATTATTTCTAGTTTGTTATATTTTGTGTATTCTAATATATTCTTTATATTGTGTATTCTTTAGATATACATCTCTAGTGTTGATAATGTATGTGGATAACCTGCTGCTGTAACACAATCATTTCCCAATTTTGGATAAAAAAGTCTGTGTCTATCAAACAACTCTATAGACAGCTGTATGGCTGCAGACCTGGCCATGTGAGGGGTAAACATACTGCCCAATGATAATATTGCACAATGTATCCATTCAATTTGGGTTTAGTGACATCGAACAAGTGATTTGGGTTCATGTGAGGTTTCAGTATCTGTCTGGTTTTTGGGGCACTTCCATATCAAGTGTCAAGTCTGAAAAATATCATGAGGGCTTTCGAAATATCATAATTTCTCAGACATAATTATGACACAGTTGTTGACATGAATGGTATTTAAAAGTCTGAAACCAGTCAATATGTCAACCCCCTATGGGACAAGAGCGTAGCATTAGTGTTGAGCCTGAAAGCTGCCTGATTGGTATGAAGGCTCAGCACTGTATTTAATAACACACATCTTCAAATATTCAAAGTACTATTCTATTGTATTCATACGTAACAGGACTGAGATTTTAGTATAGCATTAGCAAATATGAATTGTAGCCACATGACATCAGTGCTGATAGCATGAGAACATTTGGCATCATCAAGTGGTTTACCGAAAACAACTTTTAAAAAAACACATCTAAGAAACAATTTAACAGGACTGTACGTTGAGATTGATGTTCTCAGTCATACTTGCAGTATGATCAAAAATATAGAAAATAGAGTGAGAAAACTTGCTTTTGGTCGTCCCATGGCTTTCTGGAGACTCAGGAGGTGTTACTTCCTGTTGATCATGTGACTGGTGTGATGTCCCAATATTTTAGGGGGGGGGGGGGTAATGTGTCAGAGTAACAGGACTGATACAATGAAAATGTGTATTAAAACTAACATATTACGAGTTTCTGATGAGAAAATGTACATTTCTATGTCTAAATTGGAAATGGAGTCACACAATAATACAAAAAAAAACAGTGAAGTGTAGGGTTAGAGAGTTGTGGGTTGTGGGTAGTTTCAAGATACAGACAGAAAAAAAGGGCTGCATTGGAGCAACAAAGTGTGCATAGAGGCGGGCTTAGAGCCCCCCGCTATTACCAGCTCAGTTCTATCCTTTCCGTGACAATGGACTCCCTAAGACACTCTCCGCATACGGTACATCTTTTCCCGGGGTTGAATACCAGATTTGCCACCGCCTCCCCCTCACAGTCCATCTCTAAACGCTATAGCACAATGCACGCTCTGTGAAAGGCAGGTGCAGACTAATTGAATGAGGGCTAGGTTGCCGCTCCTCCAAAGCAATTAACTGCTCTCCCAGGCAGGCTGATTGAGGCAGCCATGCATGGCCCGCCATGGCTGCCTCTCCACTCCGACTGAGACAGAAGCTCGCTAACTTTCATTTATATCCTCCCAACAACACAACCACCACACTCACAAACACACACACACACACACACACACACCTCCGATACACCATCCCCCACCTCTACCTCCGTTTGATTAAAAACAGCAATAAAGAAAGAAACAACAGCATCGGGAAGCAATGTGAGCTGCAGAATGATCCATTGCATAGTTGCTGTTATTTTGTACAAGCTGTGTCTCTAAAGATACTTGAGATTTGATTTCTTCATCATCCATTTCAAGGTTCAAGCTCGATTTTTATTCTACTTCTAATCATTCTAAAACACGGGATTGCACAGAGATTGAGACTTGGACTTGGAAATTGGACTCAAGTCGCACACACAGCGACTTGAGACTTGACTTGGACTTCCCCCCTCAAAGACTTGAGACTTGAATTGGACATTGGAAAAATTGCTTGTGAGCATCTCTGGGTTTGAGAGGCTAAAGGGACGTTACAGTAGATTATACGATTATAAGAGTCATTAGTTGGAGAACCAGTGTTATGATACAATATGGTTGTACTCTAACTACTATCGGAAAATAGGTTATGTTTTTAATTTCATGCCCTATGTTAGCAATATTTTCCTGTAACCTTAAATAATTAAAGACTATATCCATTTTTACGGGCAAAGTACAAGTATTTACTTCACTGTTTTTTTTCAAAAAATTGATTGCCTGTTTAAAGTATCCATATATCAAACAACTGATTAATGCTGATACGGTATGCTAATAGATAAAGGAGGGATGAGACAGTAGGCCTACATGCTTTGAATTTCTTAGATAAAGCTATGCGCTCAGAGTAACTGACATAGTATGAAGAGTGAGATAGTTTACACAAGGTGGGTGAGTGGGAAGGCGGATGAGTGAAACAAACACAGGACTTTCTTCCTGGAGACATCTGTTAATATCCCTTGCAAAACTAAAAGTAAAGGTGGAAATTTCGTCACCTAAGCCGTTAGTGACGTGAGTCAAAAGTGTCGTTTTTCACATGAGTTGTTAGTCAGTGACGTTAACCTCAACCAGGCTCTTTTCCTAAACCAAGTGGTTTTGTTGCCTAAACCTAACTTCCTGTGAAGACAAAGGTTTATTTTGAAAAGACACCAGGCATGTAACAAGCGTATATTGACTCACTGTGACTGACACGTCCAAAAGTGACGCCAAAGGGATATGTAGAGCATCATAGCTTGAAGCATAGAAGCACTGACCAAGGGTCAGTATTTGATGAGGTGTGAGTGAGAGTGTGTTGGACTTGAGACTTGCTCCTCGAAGATTTGAGACCTGACTCGGACTTGCACAAAATTGACTTGAGAGCATCTCTGGCTGTTGCTGGGGCGGATATTGTCTGCCAGTGTGCGAAATACCCAGTCGGGGGGTCCGGTCCATTATCATTAGTCTCAGACGCGTTCTCCTTTATGTCACTTTCACTGTCAAAGAGTGCTCATTTGCTAAAAACCTTTATTTAGAGGTAATTTTCAATTGAGAGTGTAAACGAAGAGCACACAGAGAACCAAGAGAACCAGGTTGTGAAGGCTGGTGTGCAAGCTTTTATATGTTTGTTCTTCCCCTGTGTTGTGTAAACTATCATTGTCCTCACAGGAGCAATATTTCCCCTGCCCAACAGCATGGGAAATCTCAGGGGTTCTCACACTATTACAGGTACGGTTACGACAGGTTAAGGCCCTGAAGATTATGATTATGTTAGTGACCTTAGTATCAGCCAAAAATGTTCCAAATGTTCATATTTCCTCTATGGTTCATACAGCTGAAACAGCCTGGGGTCAAGTTGACCCCGAACAATGCAGATGCATACAAAATGCATACATGACATTGAAAATATATCATGTTAATTATATTTTTACCCAGTTGTCCCCATTAAATTAGGAAAAGCTGTTAAATTTTAAGTTTTACAAAATAAGGTGTCAAACATTTATTTAGAGACGTTTGATTAGGGGCAAAATTGACCCCAATAGCCTTCATGCTAAAACATGCTAACTGACATAGCGTACATATTAATCATAAGAGTGAGGTATCGATCTTCTCATATATACCTCTTGGCCAGAAAGCATGATGAGTATATAGACTTCTGCCGCTTCATAGACGTGTCTTCTTGTTGCTGGGCACCGACTAAATGTGTCCCCAGAGCAATATTGGCCGTAACAATAGTTCCTATCACATATTAAACCAAACAAAAATTAATATTCATAAAAACAAGTTGTACAAATATAATAATATCTAAACAAACACCCTAAAGCTACTGCAGATGTAAAAACAAAAGCAGTTAACTTACCAAAGCTGCTGTTCACTATTTAAAGACAAAGTGCTTCCTCCTTTCTTTGTTAACAAAGAGTTTAATCTCACGGTTGTTCAGTACATCCGTGAGCTTTAGTTCCAGTAAGAAGTCCTTCTCGATTCATGGACGCCAGTGAAGACAGTCGAGCCTCCCCAGTTGTATTTCTTGAATACGTTTTAATGTGTTTGAGGGCTGAAAATGTCCGCTCGACAGAGGCAGCAGATATTGGGATTGTCACCACCCAACATGTCACGCTAGCCCACTGACCAATCACGTACTTGTAGGCCAGCTAGCAGGCTCTGGCACGTCAAAGAATACGCCCAACATGTCAAACTAAAGATCTGATTGGTTGAACACTATGACAATCAACAATATCGTCCCCATTCACTTAAACTGCAAGGGGATTCACTTGTGAGTCTGCAGGCCTCAGGCCTCTGTTCTTACCTAGAGACACAGAGGTGAAATCTGATTGGATAAAAGCTCTACTTAAAACAAGCTGCACTGGAAGCAGAGCAACTGAGGAAGACAGTAGCTGTGCAATGAGAAAATAAGATAATGAGAAAAAAAATTATAATACATGTAGTGTATTTATGAAAAATTATTAAATTATAAAATAGCTATAACTTTGTGATTCTGTCTAGGCCAGCAGAGAAGGCCTTGCAGGCCCTGACGGCCCACCACTGGTGTACAGTACATATGCAAGTCTGAATGTGCGACCTGTTAAGTCTCAGCTGACAATCAAAATGTAATCACACAGCTTTCTGACTGAATGTCTAACAGCACGGTAAAGATTTACAATGGTGGGAATGATGTGAAAATGCTCCGCTCATTATCACCTCTTCAACCTGGCATCTGTAACCAGATGTGAACACAAAGGAATCAATCAATGATGCCACCGCCTCTACATGATACAATTGAATTGTGTTGAAGTAAGCGCACTGCGAGTGATGCAGCTGTCAGAGTCGAGGGACGGAATAAGCCAATAAGTGTGTTTTGTGTGTGTGTGTGTGTGTGTGTGTGTGTGTGTGTGCACACTTGTTAAAACCACAGTGAAGCTGTCGGCTATTAGAACAAGCACCCAGACTGCCTTCTTCAACCAATTAAACATCTCTGGTTTGTTTGGTGTGTGTGTGTGTGTGCGTCTTTATGTGTTGTCGTCTGCCATTGCCTTTCTTTGTTTTTCATCTTTCTCTGAAGCGGTGGAGATTTATTAAGGACAGGACAAGACCAGTGATGACAGTTCCTTTCATGTCCCGGGAGAAAATACAATAAGCCTGCTGCGTCTCTCTCATCTTCCCGTAGCTCTGTCTCCTTGTACTGCCTATTACTGTCAAGGTTCAGTGTCTGTGCTGTCAACTTTCTGTGTTTATTTGCTTTATCGCCTTTCTTGTTGCTCTCTCCAGTGGCGTTTCTCTTGACTTTTCTCTCCATCTCTGAATGCTTTCATGCTATTTTTCTTCTTTTTTTCTCTCTCTCTCTCTTCTGGTTGTGGTATTCTCTCTTGGCCATGCTCCATATTCTGTCTCCTTTTAAATGAAGGCCCTTCTGCCAGGTCACGGTTACTGTTCCTGCGGACGCTGCATCTGCGAGGAGGGCTGGTTCGGGAAGCTGTGCCAGTTCCAGAGGTCCTGTGACATGAGCGACGTTCAGAGCAAGGAGCTTTGTGAGACTTCGGACGGAGTCATGTGCAGCGGAAAAGGTGTGCGAGATGTTTTTTTTCAATTCTGCAAAGTCCAAAAAGTTTCCATGGAAGTCACAGTTTGGTAGTGGTGGAAGAAGTATTCACTTGGTACGACTTTGCACTTAGTAGTACAAAAATAGGAATAAAAAATTTAACAAATTATAAAAGTGTTACTGGCTCAATGTACTTTTGTCAAAAGTAAAAGTACTCATAATGCAGACAAATGCCCCCTATGGATTTTATATTATTATATATTATATCACTGGATTATCAGCAGCATCAGCATTACTCTGTAGCATTTACTGCTGGAGCAACTTTTATTTATTATATTGTTGGGTATTTTAATCTACAACAGTGCATCAAATATAAGATTATAAAATTGTAATGTGTTTTTTAATGTTGAATCTTAATCTGCAAATCTGTACAGTCAAATAACTGTGGTGGAGTAAAAACTACATTTTTTACCCTTGAATTGTACCGGAGTAGAAGTATAAAGTAGCATGACATGGAAACACTCAAGTAAATGTACCTCAAATTTGTACTAAAGTACAGCATACAAGCAGTATATGCTCACAGAAATACACGATTCACGATGGGTGGTTACATTTAACCCTTAACTTTTTAAAGTAATATGTAAAACTGCAGTGCAGATATTATGGGGTGAATTATGCCACATAAAGATCTGAGAAGAAGGCATATTCTTAACGAGCTTAAAGAAAGTTAAAGGAAAAAAGTTAGTTAGTACAGCAGTATGTTGTAACAACAACAAGACACTCTATTGATGGAAGCTCTGGCATTTTCTTTTCTGTTCTCTTCAGAGGTTTAATGTCCTTTTTTATCTCCTTTCTCTAGAACATATCACAATATCTTCCCCCTAAAGATCAATGAAAATGAGCAATTTCTGAAACGTACCCCTTCCCATTACCTCTGGTAGTTTCATTCAGCGCTTTCACCTTCTTACAAACTCTGGATCATAACTCTTGTCTCAAATTTTCTTTCTGGAGTGTTGCTCAAAATGTCTCGAACTAGAAAACGATATGTTCTGCGTCACAAACTTTGTTAATTACAATGCGTCTTTTCTGCGGGTAATAAGTTCTCTTTATACTTGTCAAACGGCTCTCAGTTAATATACAGTATTTACATATTCTCAATCATCTCCCTTCTCTTGTACATAGTCACTATTTCACTATCTCACTATTTCAAAACTCTTTTGATCCCCACCGCAACTGAAACGGTAGACCATTCATGTACGAGACGCATTTAATGAAACAAGGTCATCTGTGAAGCTCAACAAAAAGCATATTCCAATTGTCGGAATTTCTTACATCGGAACGTTATGGTACCAAGTAATTAAACTTACGAGATTAACATCAAATTCCCACTCTGAACCCACAACCGTGTTGCTCTGTAACAGGTTAATAACTCGCTCTTTAATGATTACGGTAATAATCTGGACAAGATTTACGTTTAGCTTCCTTTATGTAATCTTTTACCCAAGACAGGAACGTGTTTTACATGAACCAGAACACAGCTGCAGTACAATCCAAAATCTGACATATCACTACATATTATATTGAAGTTATCTAACACAGACTCAGATAGCTTCCTGTAGGGCTGAGAATGTTGATAGATTAATGGATCAGTTGATTGATAGGGAACTAATCAACAACTAGAACCACCATCTCCCGGTCTAATGCCTCTGCCGACCAGTCAAGTTGCATTTAACATCCATGTCTGTCCAAAATGTCATCACTTCATCACTCTACCCTATTTGACATTCATGTGAAATTGTCAGAATAAGCATATGAATTCTTGCGTTTGACCGCCACAATCGAATCAGTTCACGCTTTGAGCCCAAGGTGGACGTTTGTGCCAAATTTGGAGAAATGACTTCCTGAGATATGGCGTTCACGGGAACGGGACAGACGTACAGAGAACCCCGAAAACACAACGCCTTCGACCACAGCTGTCAGAGGTGCGGGGACATAAGAATGTTCATGTGAATAAATTGTTCACAATTGTAATGAATTGCAACAAGACAAACAATCTAAAGGTGTCTCCATCGGGGCATTGTCCCCTCTCCTCTGACATGTTATAGACTAAATGATCAACCAGTTAACCGGAAACAAAAAAATGTCAGGTTGATTGATAATAAAGATTTATAATATCCTATACATTTCTTAGATTCTGCACAGTGTCGCCACATCGTATGTGTCATTAGGTGGCAAATGACATTAGGCAGCAGGATTCCTCCTCCTCTGCTGTGTGGCGTCGAATCCACAGAAATAGAGCAACTGCAGTGGGTCCAGCCCTGCAGAGCCGAGTCGAGCCGAGTGGGATCATGAAAATGAAGATGAGCGTGTTCATTCTCCACGCTCCACCACATTCAGACACCGGAACAATCTTCCCCCAGCTCCTCCTTCGCCTCTCTCTCTCTCTGTCTCCCTGTCTCCCTGTCTGTCTGTCTGTCTCCCTGTCTCTCTGTCTGTGTCCCTGTCTGTCTCCCTGTCTGTCTATCTGGCTGTCTCTCTGTCTGTCTCCCTGTATGTCTGTCTCCCTGTCTCCCTGTCTGTCTGTCTCCCTGTCTGTCTCCCTGTCTGTCTATCTGGCTGTCTCTCTGTCTGTCTCCCTGTCTGTCTCCCTGTCTGTCTGTCTCCCTGTCTCTCTGTCTGTCTGTCTATCGGTCTCCCTGTCTGTCTCCCTGTCTGTCTGTGTCCCTGTCTCCCTGTCTGTCTGTCTGTCTGTCTGTCTCCCTGTCTGTCTGTCTGTCTGTCTTGTCTGTCTATCTGTCTTGTCTGTCTATCTGGCTGTCTGTCTATCTGTCTTGTCTGTCTGTCTGTCTGCCTCCACCTCCCATCGTGTGATCCGATGTGTGAGGTTTGAAATTGGGGAGAATGAAAACATAGTTGTTGGACCTCTGGTATGAGCTTTGGAAAAAAAAAACTGAAGCAGACAGCAGTATATTTGTTTTCCACTACCAATCCTTAATACCGTACTATCCTGATGCCGACCTTGAGAGAGAGAGAAACAAACACTGATGGGGGAGAGGGGAAGTCTTAAGTCTGGGCGGATTGGTTTCCTGGTGGAAACAAGTAGGGGCTGTTTCCCCGGGGAACATCCCCTACACTCAGCCCAACTCTATTCATCTTCTGTGTAAAGCAAAGAATTTATAAGAAATAGTACAAACAGCATTTATTACGAACTCAAAACATGAGGGGATGGCGTTAACAAGAAAAACACATCGAAATGTTACTCAGCTTGGATTCGGAATGTGAAAAGTTAAGTAACACTTTGTGTGTGTGTGTGTGTGTGTGTGTGTGTGTGTTGCAGGTTCCTGTCACTGTGGCAAATGTATCTGCTCTCCCAAAGACTGGTGGGTGTCTGGAGAGTACTGTGAGTGTGACGACCGAGAGTGTGACAAACATGACGGCCTCATCTGCACAGGTAGAGTGGGACATGTGGTTCACACACACACACACACACACACACACACACACACACACACACACACACACACACCATTGTACTTGTAGATTTTGAAGCAATCCCACTAACGTGAACAGCTATGGTTGTGAGTTTGAGAAGAGAGAAGTGAATAGTGACAAACATACGCACACACACACTTTATATATCTTCTCTCTCTATATAGCAGCTTATCCACAGGAGCCGTCTTCTACCCGCTGATAATGAAAATCTCAGTACATAGTTTATAATTATTGTTGCCCCCTGTCAGAATCTGGACAGCTGTTCAGAAGTGTTTCTCATTATTACTCCATGACTCCAAATGTCAGCCTTAATGTCATTCAGATGAGCATCAGTGGTTCTAAATGGAGACAAGGGCTGCTTAGAAAATGTGGAAAACTGAGAGGCAATGAGCAATGTGTGGCAATGTCTGTTAAATGTTCCCGATTACCATATAACTTACTGGAGTATATATTAGTGAACATTAGCATAATGCATGAGAGCTATTATAAGGTAATGGTGTTTTATATGAAGAGGCAAGTCTTGAATATGCAGGTAAAAGCAGTGGAGCCTTTTTTTTTTTTACAAGTTAACGATCCAAAAATGAGTTCGCCAAGTTTGCCCAGGAATTAGTCTGCACCTGGAGATTTCACGGACCCTTCAGAGCTGTACAACCCATGAGTGATGTGGAAAATTCAGCGTTTCAGGAGTGCTTGCTGGTCAATGTCATGCGCTGAATATGATAATTTCAGCCACTTTCTTTCAGAAGAGGGAAACAAAGAGCTTTTTATTTGTCTGTCTGCAACACAGGTAAAAACAAATACATTTCTTTCAATATGCAACACTTCAGAATCCTCTTCATCGCGGGCATATTCATTGACGTGATTTTCCATCAGATCTATTACAATTACCTGAAAAGGTTTTAGTATCAGCAACGCAGTAACACAAGTGTCTGTTGGTTTGAGTGAACGCCCATTTAAACTAAGCCTTGAAGAGCGTGAGCCGGGATCAGAGAGCCTCCCACTCCAGAGGGAACACGGGTGGTTCAATTGAGCTGTTGATGTTATTCATTTTCCCATTAAAACATCAAAACTGACATTGACTTGCCGACCAACAAGTACCGCCTGCTTTGTCTCATTCATCTGTGCCATAAAGCTCCATCGCTGTCAAAAACTATTAAAAAAACGTGAGCCCTATACCGCTGCAATGGGTGAAATATTCTGTAATTACCATGTACACACACACACACAGTGTACAATTCATTTTTAATCCCATATATATTGTCACAATATTATTATGTAAACAGACAAATAGAAAAGAGCAAAGAAGTATTAACACCAAAATGTACCAGAAATATGAATGCTAACAAAATAAAGGTAGAGTTGAAAGTAAAATATTCCCCTCTGAAATATAGTGGAAGTATAAATTAGTATACAACTGAAGTACCTTAAAATTATATTTAAGTACGGTTCTAATTTCATTAAATTAGATTCTGGATTAAAATGAATGCACCAAATGTCTATTAATCCGCAGATTAAAATAGTCCCTGACAAACGCACCATTTGCTGTTGTTTGTGCATGGGCTTGTGGTGCAGTAGGGAAGTTGGAAAGTTCTGAGAGACAGACTAAAGGCATTTTGGGTTTTAATCATTTCATGGGATTTACTGACAATAAGAAGAATAAATAGAGAAAGGCCAGCCTAATCTTTAGTGACAGGGAGGTCTGTCTAATCTGCTCCCTGGAAGATCAACAAGCCGTTTAGCTGACTTTTATTGTTTTTCCTCTCACCTACTTACCCATCTCTGCTTCCTTCTGTTTCTTCCACCTTTCTTTCATCATGTGTTTAAGTCCGTCACCCCTTTTTCCCTCCTCAGACTCTGCCCTCCTCTCTCCCAGGGATATTTTGCAGTAGATAAGTCTTTTTCAGGAGTCCTCCTAAGCTCGGCATCTCCTGTCTGACACCTCAGGGAGCTTGTGGAGAGACGGGGGCTACGAGGTTATAACACATTCAGAGGAGGGCGTTAGCCCAATATGGGTGTCTTTATATACCTAAATTAAAAAAATACCCTCACAGTGTTGGCTTGTCAGTGATTCCCAAAACAACTAATATGATGGTGTTGCTGAACTGACTCCCTTATTGGTTGGACAGTTGAGGCCTTTTAAGATACTTATGGAACGATTGCAGGAGATTGGACTTTAACTCCAGTCTCTTATGTTGAAGTCAGATGTAGCACAGTCCTCGTTCCAACCCGAACTTCTATTACTTCGATATTCAATATTTCTTCCTTTGCTAACAAAAACATTTAAAAAAAGTTGTTTTAATGCAGACTGCCACCTCCGGTTCTGAAGCCAATGCTGAAGTGTCTTAAACTTGCATTCTCTCTAATGGCCATCAGGGGGCAATCATCTGGTTGCAAAAACAAGTCAGATTGTATAGAAGTCTATGAGAAAGTGACTCTACTTCTCTCTTGATTTATTCCCTCAGTAAACATTGTAAACATGAGTTTATGGTCTCAATCTCTAGTTTCAAGTCTTCTTCAATACAGCATGTAAATTATGGTCCATTTAGAGTCAAACAGACCATAAAGCAGAGTATGCTTTAGGGCGGGGCTACCTTGTGATTGACAGGTTGCTACAGCGACGTTGTCCGGTCTGGGAGGTGATGCCGACGGCCAAAAAGCCAAACTCCAGGCTTCAAAACTTTAGTCCACAAACCAATGGGTGACTATGTCTACATACATGGTTGTGACAAGCATTTCTTTCAGACAGACTGACTTTTCTGTGTAAATGTCTGGCTTTTTTCCCCTCTTAATTAAACCAGCGTTTTCTCTCCTCTGCTGTGTGGGCACAAGCAGTGTGAAACCAAAAGAAACGTCCTGAGCAGCGAAGTCAGCAGGGGCAGAGAAATGCACCCAGTGGAAGCGGGGTGTGAAAAGAGGAACCTTGTTAAAGGTCAGGCATGATGGAGCAGTTCTTAATTCACAGCTTCTCTTCCACATTGCCCTCACAGGGAATGGGGTGTGCAATTGCGGCAACTGCGAGTGCTGGGACGGCTGGACGGGGAACGCCTGTGAAATCTGGGTGGGAGAAGAGTACTGAAGGGGGGAGAGGACGCTGGCGTTAAGAGACAAGAGAGGCCTGGCTGCCCGGAGCGACCAGGAGCGCCGCTGATCGTCACGACCAGGCTGGTTAGAAAACACAGCAGCCAGGAAAAACCACGGGAGGAGGGAGACGACTAAACTAAACCTGGATATAACTCTGCATATCACTAACAGCATTCATTCTTTTATTGTACTGGTTACAAGTGATCCTTATTGTAGGTGTGAAAGAAACATATTACCATGTAAACATTTGTTTCCAAAACAGCTCTATGTATGATTTTTTTTGTTTGTTTGTAGGAACGCTTACGTATTCCAGATGGCTACACATGATATGATGCAGATACATGATGAATCCAAATGTTGGAAAGGGAAGAATAATTAAAGTGAGTTTTTTTTTGATGATGTAGATCTGTTTTTAACTGGTACGGAGCGGAGTGTTGCCCCACAATTGGACGGAAAGTTCACTCAAAGTTGAGGCGGAGGTTACTGTTTGAGGTTTTTATTTCTTTTTTTTAATAATAAAACATTGAATGTGCCGCATGACAACATGTTTGCATGGAAAACAATGCGAAGACCTTAATCATACATGGTTACAAATCTGTTATAACATGACATAACTCCAATGGGCATACTTGCAATGGTATATATATTTCTTTTTTTTGTTGTTGAAAATAAATCATTTTAACAGTGCCTATTCTTTTCCACCGGAAACCAAACAATCTGCCAATGAAAGCCACGCTGTACCGAAGGTACGTGACGGACATTTCCAACATTTCAACACACACAAGTGACGAGGTTAAACTTCTACGTGGAGGAAACAAAGAGAGGGCATACATAGTTCCGTTGTGGCATGCTGGATGTCCATGACACTTCGAAAAGGTGGCATCAGGGGATGAGAGCTGCATTGACACAAGAGCTCAGTCACCACTTGAAAAGAGAGCCGATGAGAAGTCACAAAGAAAATTTAATGTAAATTCTACTTTGGCCTTTTTTTCTTTTTTTTTCATGCTTAAACTAGCCAAACCCCTCCGTTTTCTTTGTCCCATCGAAAGTGACAGGTGCAATAATATACTGCACCCTATATTGCATTAAGTATGTTACTGACATTACAGTACACCTTTTTGTATAAATATTCTATTCAATATGTTGTATGTGCGTCTACAACGAACACAAACTGTATAGTGTAGACAAACTCGTTGCATATATGTATGTAAAATTAGCGGTACATACCAACAGTTCTCGATAGACATAGCCTACTACATGCAGTTCATTGATGCCATCCTCTCCCCATGCAACAGATGGGACAGTGTATAAAACAAGAGGTTGGAAACGGAGACGTTTGCTAGAAGATTCTCGTGACACATCTGAAAAGAGGGGGAGGGGGGGGGCAAAGCAAACATGATCGGTATCAGGAGACGACATCAAGCACAACCCGTATAGGCTACAAGACAAATTAGAAGAAAAAAATAAATGTGAAATGAAATAGTGGCTACAGAGATCCAAACAGAGATGTACATTTACACACCGGGCATTTACAAAAATAAAGTCAGCCTCGGAGAAGCCAGTTATCTGGACCGCAGGGCTGGAGCAGCAGCCAGCCCTGCATGTAGAGTTTGTAAGAGTGGAGGATGATTGGCTGTAATGAGGACAGAACATCAGCCCCAAATACAACTACAGTGGTTTCCAGCTCCTGTGTGTGTGTGCGTGTGTGTGTGCATCGTATGCCATTTAAGAGCTTTGTACAGATAAGTATTCCAACTAATGCGCTTCAATGTGCTGTAATAAGAAACGATCATGTGTAAACCCAATAAAATCACATTCATCAAATCAACTTCTGAACATAAATTGCAGTTTTAGCATCACGCACACAGCAGCAACAATCTACTCCGTATTCTAAATCTTATCTAACAAAACTATTCGGGGGAAAAAATTCCTTCAGAACAAGACGAACGTTATGAATTGATCGATTCAGACAGAGCTCTGATAAACCGCTAACAGTCGTGATGAAGATGCCGAAACGGAGAGTGCAGCGGGTTTACCTTCGGATCCGCTGTGAGTGTGCTGCAGCCTGCAACATGCAACTCCCAGCACCCGACTCCAGCGCTCCCGTGGCGACGCCGATCAAAGAGCGGTACCCATACCTTGCTCTTCGTAGAAAATACATGCACGTGATTAATTCAAGGTATACGCACATCTCTAAAATGACACCAGGTAAAGACCTTTGGGGGGTGGGGAGTGGAGTTGATTCTGTCGCACGGAACAAACGCAATCACAGTGAAAGCTTCGATTGATTGAATCTGATTTGTTTTCTTTTGCAAAGAATCGGTTTAATTTCCTGGGAAAAGACTTTGGTCATTTTCAGAGTTGAACACATCTGAGTGTGGCTTGTCAATGGATAATGCTACGTGTCCTCTACACGGATGTATCCAGTGGGTTAGGCACCTTCGGGGCCCAGTGACGGGGACTGGGAACCTGTTTTTGCATGCCGGGAATCGAGGTCCAAACAGGCACGTGATAGGCCAAGATGATCGGTACTGGACTCTGCATGCTGAACTAGGAGACAAATCCTCTCGTAGTAATAATATTAATAATAACAATATCTAGTCATTTAAAAAGTTATGATTTATAATATTCATTTTCCCTAAGTTTTATACAGTGAAAATGTTACAATATAAGCCATCTCTTTTATAACTGCTGCAAGAAGAGAGAACACAACATTAACCTTTGCCCATGCTTTAGGTTTGCCGAACCAAATAGGGATGCAGCCAGTATAAATGTCGCCTACTGGTTTTCAGCCATGTTGTTTTTCTGGCTTTTTTTGAATAGACGCTGCCATAAAATGGCTGCTAGTGCTGCAGTCGTCCACCATCTGGGTCAAAGCCACGAGCCTTTGCCTCGTAGTCTAAAGAAGTCAGTGAGTGAGGGACAGAGGCCCACAAGGCCTAGAGATATTCCTAGAGCCCACACTCTGAAATGAGATTAAAGAAAAATAGACTTCAGGTTTTCTTCTATTTACCAGAGAAGGCGGAACGGAAACCGCTACTGGGACTTAGATAGTGATATGTAGACACCATTCCTTACAGCGCTCTACCGCCCACACGCAGAGGTCTGTTTAGAAACGCGCGTGTGTGTTAGTGTGTGCGTTTGTGTGTGTGTAGGGAGCTCCTCGCATTGATTGCAGTGGCGGTAATTAGCACTTCATCAACTATGATTGCAGGAGCTCTCTGCCAGCCTCCAGTGTGTTTCTATCCGCTGTAAAAAGAAAAGAAAAAACAAGCAACACATTGATTTGTCCCCCTCCACCAACTGTGTGTGTCTGTCTGTAAGTGTGTGTGTGTGTGTGTGTCTGTGCCTGTTGCGGGCAACACAAAAATTTTAATTTTTTTGTTTGTGTATGTGTTGCCACATCTGTTTGAATGTGTTTCTTACAAAATCAAACAACTCCCCTGCAAAACGTTTTTATCTTTTCTAGGTTACTTGACAAAGAGGAAAAAAAGAGTGTGTCTAGAGATAGAAGAGAGGGAGAAGGGGAGAACGTACTGGTAAAAAATAGAGGACGACAGTCCAAATATTTGCTCTATCTATACAGTCTCTATCCCAGAACATAGCTGGTGAACTGTGGTATAGAAAATAGATCTGAAGGTACACAGACTCTGCTGCTGTAGCAGGGGGCCATCACAGAGAGAGAGAGAGAGAGGGGGGGGGGGTGGTGTTCTTGTACGAACCGCCTGGCAAGCAAAATGCCACGAGCATGGCCGTGAAACACAGGGTTCTCACAGTTTTTAAGGGGAATCTAAAGGCATTCCATGATCAGAGGTCCTCTTTTTTCCCTCCTGTGTGCCGGAGAAACTCAGCCGCCTCGTTGTCCATGCGTCCATGTCGAGGACCGGCTGGAGAAAAGGGAGGGCGAGGCTGGAGAAAGTGGAGCACGAAAAAGGGAAGGGGTGGTTTTCGCCTGGATCTGGTCCCCAGAAGAAAAGAGGGTCTAGAGTCTAGTCTCCGTCACTCCCCACCACCTTTCCCACCTCCGCGTGCACACACACACACACACACACGTGTTGGGTACTGGTGCGGGGCTATGTGGCAGGCTTGTCGGGCTTGCTTACAGGTTTACCTCCGTTCATCACCGCCGGCTCACTTGTGCTTTTACTGGGAGGCGCCGCCGCCTTGGGCACCGTCTCTCCAACGTCGTGCAACGATGGCTCTCTGTACATGGCAACTGGAGGGGCGGGCGAAGAGGAGAGAAAGCAGAGAGACAAAGAACAGAGCTGTTAGCGAGAACTTCCCGACTGCACTTTTAGAGTTTGACTTTCGAAAACCATCTTCCCCACAATATCTGTTGTTGTGTACTTTTGCAAAAGATACTACACAGGCAGAAATTCCTTAAAACCTTCAAAGGAGATGATGACATTTTTTGCCCATGGGCGTCCTGACCTGCTTTTGTCTCCGTGAGGGCTGATTCTTAATCTAAGCAAATGCTTTTCAACAAAACATTGAAAAGTGCCTCATTATCCAACACTTTACAGCTGTCTACTGCGGTCTTGACGGGACACTTCAACTTGATTCCACGTTTTAAATCGGTCGGGAAGCAATCAGGCCGGTTGACTGACAGTGAGTGACTGCGGCATCAGCTGGACTATCAGCACTTCATGCTGCACTCACAGAACTGTCCTGCCTCCTGCACTGTACTGTACAGCAAAATCAGCGAATCAGCACATAATTACAAGAATATGTCAATGAATCACATAGTTGTATCATCACTACAGGGACAGGCCTTGTAGTATGGGGCATCTGTCTCGTAATGTAACAAGGATAGTCGTGATTTTTTAACTGTTTTTCACCCAAATACATCAGGATTTATTTGTGTCTCCACCTACATTCATGTTATGCTACAGTTATGTTTCCTTCTGCAAAAACAGCACTGCTTACAGTAGCGAGGCCTCTTGCAATGTTGACAGCTGATAAACTCCTTCAGGCACCAAAAAGTGGAGAGAAAATATGGAGGAAATGTTGCCCCTTTAGTCTTGAAGTAAATAAATATTGAAAGCTGTTAAGCTCTGTTTTTATCCTGCTTTACTTATACTGTATTTTTTTATACTATTATGAAAGAACTATTGAAATAAAGCCCCTAAAAGCAAATGGAAACTGCCCAAGCAGATAGCTTTAGATTTGTTTGCCCTACAATATCACAAATCCATCTCTGATAGTTCTGTTGCCATATATGATGGGTGGGTCCTGGAAGTTGTGCACCTTGCACACATCTTGGATCTGTCCCTTTAAAGGATAAAGCTGGTGATGAAAAGATTAAACCCACTAATGTGTTCGCTCATCTCTCAATTTATTCCAACTCAGCCCCAAGTTCTTTGGTTCCTAATGAACACGTAAAAAATGATTTTAACGTTTTTTTTTTTTTAAAAGGCTCCGTAATTTCCTGATACAGCTGGGCACTGTAGTTTTTAGGAAATTATGCTCAAACAGAAGGAAATAGTACATTTGTCGGGGACTATTTTCACTTGCGGATTATTACACTCTACTGTGCAGTAAGATGGTGTATGTAGGATTGATAAAGTACAGTGGAATGAAAGTTAGTCTTTTCATTAAAATAGTTGACAAAAAGAAAAAGATATTAAATACTACCACACCTATAGTGAAAAACTATATCTATTTAATACAAAAAATACTAATAATAGAAAAAAAGAAATATATATATATATCTGTGCCTACCAGATTATAAATGGATTGTTAACCTCCCTTTAACCTCTGTGCAGTTCTAAAGTCTATCACAGTACGTACCTTCTAATGGCTTGGGCAGGAAGTGAGCAGCTGGTTTGGTTTTTTTCACCCGGTTCCCCTTCATTGCTTGGCCCTCTTTATTGAGCCCTAGGAACCAAGCTCTCCCCGACTCCTGTTGTCTGTACAACATAGACGAGTAGATCACATAGTAGTTCTCAAACACCGACTCTTTGAACTTGCACTCCGCTGTAAAGAGTTCCTGCAGGGACAGACACAAGCACCGGGTGTTATTGTAAGAACAGGCTCTTTGAAAACCAAAAAAGAAAGAAAACAATACAATGAAGATTTCCTCTGAATGTAACACATTCCAGTCGGACTCCAAATAATAATTCACAGTTCACATTACGTAAGAATGAAACAGATGTCGGATTCATAATTCATATTCAAACTGTTCTGGGGGGTCACCTTTATTTCATGCACACAAGTAATAATATTGCAGAAACTGCCTCGCCAGGTGAAATGGACTTCCATCTGTTGTGAAACGAATTAGAGCTGCAGAGTCCATCTCGCTATAATCGTGTCTCAAGCCAAGCCTAATGACCTGCTCGGGATGAAATGCAACTCTCATCCTCACCTTGGCCCTCAACCTTGACATCAGATGTAAGAGCACTCGTTTAGTCAATTAGCTCATGTTCCCGGCCGAAAGTATATATTGTTGGGCACTGACCCTCGCACCTGCAGTGCTGGAAACATCAGCAACACTCCCCTGTTCCTTAGACATTTCTTTTTAATTGGTTGAACCCAAATGGGATCATCCCTCCCAAATACTATGTCTTCCATCAGCAATTTGTCTATGACTGCCTTCTGGACTTTGTAGGAATAATGATAGAACTAATCAAGTGGACTCCTCAATCCTTTTACACCCCAATATGGCCACGTCTCTCTGCACTGTCGACCATTCTTCTCCATACCAGAAGGGTAATAAAGAGCGTAGCCACACTGTCCCGCCCTGCCCGGCTAAAAGTAAAGACATTTATCGGGGCGGTATATAATCAAAGCGCACTCGTTCACAATGGAGAGTTTCACCGCATCTGTTGTGAGCAGTTCACACTGAGCTGGCTGACACTACTGACAGTAAATGTAAAAAAAAATACAATAAATCCCCTGATGCACCCGTGGTGCCGGGGTTGTTAGTCTCAGAGTCTGGAGGCTTCTCGAGGTAACCAAAACAAGGAATACTTTCATTTGCTTTGCGACAAATGAGCAGAATTTACATCGTGTCAGATGATTTTGTCGATCTTCCAACCAGGATTACTTTCCGTGCTAGAAAAATAAACATTCGCAATTTTATCAAACAGGGTCTCTGACGAAGACGATGGAAAGAAAAAAAACTTTTTTTGGAAATTCCACCTTTTGATTCAGCCAATGATGCAGGTAAATCTGAAAGGAGATTATGCTAAAAATATGGCTACAGCTTGTGTGTAGATGTCTTAAAATTGACATGACTATACAGCCAGGCTAGCGGCTCTGTGAGGCCACGCAAGCACAGCGTTGCTTTGTGCCTAAAATCTGACAACTGTACATGTCCACAGTAACAATGTTAACACGCTGATGTTCAGCAGCTGTGATGTTTACCATGTTCACAGGCTTAAGATTTGCAAGGCTGATGGGCATGTCATTAGCTTTGCAGGTATCGGCTCATAAATCAAAGTGAGATTTCGTTTTGTTGTACTGCAACTGCAGCACAACAATTTCCCTCGAGACCAATGGAGCGTTATCTCATTATCTTATCTTATTGCGGTTCATCCTGAGGATGATATGAACGTGCATACCACATTTGTGCCAATCCATCTAGTAGATTAAAAGTAGCAACCTGACACGTCAAATGGTTTGTTACACAGAACCATGTGAGAGGCCGTCGTTGGCAACTATTCGGAAAAAGGACACTTTCAAAAAATACTTGGCAGCTGATTGGACGAACATCTATCTATCTATCACCACCTCTCCATGTCGTCACACTCTTCATAGAGCGCTGATTGGTCTGAACTACATAAACTGCTAAACGCATTCATGATATCACGATAATCCTGCTGCCGTGTAAGGTAAGACAAAGACTATGGGTGTCTGCACAAAATTGCATGGCAATCCATCAAAAAGTTGAGCAAGTTTAGCAAGAAGATTGAAGTTTACATCAATATCTGTCCAAAAATGTCATTACTTCTTACATCCTGTGAAATTGTCACAATTAGCCTATGAATTCTTGAGTTATGGCCAAAAGCGTGTTTTGTGAGGTAACAGTGACCTTTGACCTCCAATATCTAATCAGTTCATCCTTGACTTTGCTTGAACGTTTGTGCCAAATTTGAAGAAATTCCGTGAGATATCACATTGACAAGAATGGAATGGACGGACAATCCAAAAACAATAATTACTGTGGTATCGAGAGAAAGCCAGCTATCGCTGGCACAGAGGCATAAAACCATATTATTTTAATAATAGCTATATCAATAATAGGATCAACAGTAATACTGGCAGTAATGTTTCCATGTTACACCCAGGCCTGTCGAAATAACTACTTTTGTTGGACAATAAATTGTCCCAGAAATAATTCAAATTGACGATATTATTGTCATATTAAGACATTAATATTACATTTCATTCCACTGATATGACTATGTAATAGCATAATAATGCAAGTGCACCCTTTCAAAGAGCAATTAACTATTCATTCTTAAGAATATTTAGACATCGGAACTGGAGTGTAAAATAAATATGAAATTATTCTAAATAAATAAAATTAAAAAATTAAATAAAAATACTCAACCAAAGCAATAAATAAAATGGACACTCTGGCTCTGTTTAAAAAATGTGCAATGTCTGCAATATGCACAAGTCTTATAATGGTATAGAAAACCCTTCTGTTCATTCTGGCTTCATACGATGAGTCAATAACGTAATTACCGTGACAGGCCTAGTTTCAATATACTTTGATTTCATAGATATTTTATAAATCTCCTGTATTGTATCTGCAAGGGATGTTATGTATGAGCTAAATGCTCAGTTTTGAACACATGGTTATGCTGCAATTAGCCCCTTGGAGCACCACTCCTGTCGGAGCTTATCCTCTGAAAGCAGAGCTGAGCAGGAAAGGAGCGGAGAGACACTTGGGATGAACCGTAGCGATCCCGAGGAGCACCCAGCTGTATTTGTAAGTGTCCTCTCTCTACCCTTGATTGAGGACTCGTGGGCATTCCCGAGTGTCGAGGCGCCAAAACGCACCATGCAAAAACAACAGCATCGACCGGTGGCAAATGGAGGGATTAGGACGAAAACTATTAATGTTGCTTCGGTAGTCGACTACAACAGCTGGGCAGAGACATTGATAGGCAGACTGAAGCAATAAAAAAACTGAGCCGTACATGATGAAACCTTGAGCGCTGTAGTGTTATGTGTAAAGTAAGTTAGGAGACCGTAGTATCTTTGGCTAACTTTATTAGCTCAACATTAGCATAACACCAAGACTGTTGACTGACTGGATTCATATAACTCCCAGTGCGGACCGCGGACTGCGCACGCCCACATCTGACATCACGCACACCTGATCACTCCGCTCTGCATGTCGATAAAGTAGTACCATTACATTACATCACCCTTTCTTTGAGTCATTTAAGACATGCTGCAAAAAGGCATAATGTCGTCTGTCAACATCTTCTGTACGTCTAACTGGTCATTGTAAAACTCAGAACGAATGCTCTATTAAGTAACACAGTATCATAACAACATACATTTACTTTTCAAAATCTCTTCAGGATTTAAACTTCTTGTGGCACTTACACTGGCACTTAACAGTTTTATTTTGTATTAATGAAATCATTTAACATAAACCAATCCTGAACTATTGTGATCTGGGTGGACTACCAGCCACCAACATAGCTGCAGTGGATTATTCTGCCACTTGATGCAGACTATGTCCTAACTACTTAACATACTCTCCGTATCGGTCTGGTGGTTTTACAATTCTGCTGCTGGAGGTTGTGCGTGTTGCAGTCTGTGTCATAGTATCTTGAGATGTAACAGGAGGTGTGTCTGCATCAGAACCAGGTGAACTTAACTCTCCATCGTTCACTATACATCCGTCCCCTCCCTCCTGGAAAGTCTCTGTAGGGCTTTGGAGAGGTCTCAGATGGCGACGGTTCCTGCGCAGTACTCCTTTATCCGTCTGGACTAGGTATGACCTCGGTGTGTCACCTTGCTTAATGACCGAAGCAGACTTTGTCCAGCCTCTCTCATCATCCAGCTTCACAGCAACGCTGGTTCCAGGCTGTAGGTCTGGTAGAGTTCTGACGTTATTCTTGTCATTGTAGGCTTGCCTGTAGCTCTGTTTCATCCTCTCATCGTTCTGTCTCACTTTGTGGAGGTCTGGCCATCCAGGTTGTAGATTAGCCTCCAGTGTAGGAACTGCAGTACCGATTTGTCTGCCAAGCATGAGCTGAGCTGGGCTCACGCCTGTGGCTTGAAGCGGGGTCGCTCTGTAGACCAAGAGGGCTAAGAAAGGGTCAGTTTGTTTCAGGATCTGTTTGGCTGTCTGCACAGCTCTCTCTGCCTCACCATTTGCTTGAGGGTAGTGAGGACTGGAGGTGATATGTCTGAAATCATACTCCTTAGAGAACTGCACGAAAGCTCTGCCTGAAAATTGGGGGCCATTGTCTGTGACAAGTTCATTTGGGTTCGTTGAGGTAGGCTATTTCTATATATCGTGAAAAATAGTCTACAACTACCAAGAAGTTCTGTTTGTTCAGCTCACATATGTCAGCTGCTACTCTTTCCCATGGGCGACTGGGTAGCGGGGTAGTGATCAGAGGTTCTCTTTTCTGGGTCGGCTTGGACTCCTGACAGTCCTTACATGTGCTGACAGCGTCCTGGATGTGCTTGCTTACTCCAGGCCACCACACACTACACCTAGCCCGCTCCCGGCACTTCACTATGCCTTGATGTCCATCATGTATGCGCTGTAATATCTCAGACCTCATCATCAGTGGTACTACTATTCTATCATTATACAACACCAGTCCTTCTGAAACCGTGAGGTGATGTCTGGAAGTGTAGTAGTCTTTTACCTTGTTAGGCACTTTAACAGCATATTTGGGCCATCCCGACATCACGTAGTGTTGAACCATCTGCAGTTCTGCGTCCTGTAGGGTCTGTTGTTTGACTATGTCGAGCTTGGTGGGTGAAATGGGCCATGACTCGTGGATTGCT